TGTTGTTTTCTTTACAGCATCTTCACTGAACGTTGAAATTCGCAGTGAAGGGTGTGATGATCCAGGAAAGACTGGTTGCGGTATAGCTTTCATTAAAGTGAACAATAAAGATTACTCATTACACAGAAGAGGTTTCAATGTGGCGGTGTTCACTGAGCAAGGTATGTGGTCCTAGCAATCCCGGACGTTAAAAATTACTTACTTTGACATATGAGAGTAGGTAAAGTCTGCATTAGAGCCAAGTGGCTCATTAGGCCGGAGCTTATCCCAGTTTCTGTAGCATGGAGCGACTAGGAGTATTTCTAGTCCCCCCATCAGTGGATGGGATGCTAGTACATCGCAGGGTTACCTCCAGAGTTAGATTGGCCGTTAGCCATGTATACACCCGGCCCGGGTGGAGAGAGGCAATGTGAGATTAAAGTGACTTGCCAAAGAACAGAACACAATGTCCCTGGCCAGGCCTCTAACACGGACGGCTCGATCTGGAGAAGAGCGCTCTATCCATGAGCCTATCTCGCCTACCATCAGTGTAAGTAGGCAAAAACAAAAATTGAACGCCAGCTGGTAACTTCAAAGTTTTGATCACTTCAGTTATCGAATGGAAATAGACAAAGCTTGATATAAAGGAGTGGTCACTGTACGTCGCATTTAAAAGGTGAGAGTATTTTCGTTCCGAAAGGTAACCACATCTGGGTAACACTTATCATAAAGAATTTCAAAAAAATTCGAACTGAACTCAAATATTTTGTTCCTTATAGTGAATAAAACGAAGGAATGTAAATCAAATTGTCGGCTCGCTTTAATTTTCCTTCTACATTTTATAGGTTTATTCCTTGAGTCCAGAGCGTTTGATACGTATGGTGTCTTGAAAGCCGGAACGAGTTTGACGAACTATCTGAACCGTATTTATGGCAAGTAAGTACTTCTGAACTAATTAAACTTATTTAGCAGTTAGGCGTAAAACGGGGGAGAGGTGGAGGTAGAGCGAGAGCAGGGATAGAAGAAGGGAGCGTGGGAGAGAGGAACAGAGGACAACGACGCGCCGTACAGATCAAGTACTTTTCTGACACGTAATTATTTTTTAGAATTTGTGAAGACGTAGTCTACTCTACATGTTTTCTATGATTTGTGCTCAAGATGTCGTATTTCATGTTTCCTTAGTAAAATTGTCCTCGTCGCCATTCAAGACTCGGCAGATACATATGGCTCAGTGGCAATCAGTGCACTCAAGAGACTGGGAGCTAGAGAACCTATCATATTACAGTTTCGTAGTTCGTTTGCCCTGGCAGGCTTCGCGGGTTCAGGGTTGCCTTCGTGGGTGAGTCAAGCGCAAAACAAGCGCTACAAGGGACCGAGTGTGTTGAGGGTTACTATCGAAGGAGGTAATTATCAAGCAACTCTAACTTGTATTTACGGGTCCACGCT